CAGCTGGTGGACAACAAACTGCACGCCTTTGGAATTGCAGTGCAGCTTCTTGCCACAAGGCCACCAGTGCTCCCCTTTAACTGATAGAGAAGATATTTAGTGTGTAAGTTTCCAATAAATTTTGTGTTTTTTATTTGGTCCACTGTAGATTTTTAATATTTATTAGTAAGTTAATAGTATTGTATAGACTTGATTAAACTATTAATATATTTTGGAATATTAAATGTTGTTTTACATCAGATTCCATGATTTTTTATAAATCAAATTTGTATTTGAAAAATTATTCCTTAAGGATGTTTTGTTATATGACACTGAATAATAATCAACACATAGTTGGCTCTCCAGCACGTTTTCAGAGGCTGGAAGTTGCACATCTTTCTCCATGGAGCTACCAGAAGATTTGAACCATATGCCTTTGGGTTGACAGCACAACTCCTTACCTTAAGAAACCACCAGAGCTACTTAAGATGTTTAGTGAATTATTATTTGATATTAGGAAAAAAAATATGTTCATTATTGAATTTTTTTTTCTTTATAATACACTAAAATCTGTTGGATTTCTGCTTTTTGGAAAGAACTTTTTTGGTGAATCTTGTGAGTCATTTGCATGGAAAAAACTCCATTATAAATAATTTGCACAAAATATATTAAAAAACCGCCATGATAGTTAATTTCTAAACAACAGTTTAAAAGCAATTATGAAAATCAAGATATTTGTAAAGGGCCATTTTGAAGCTATAGAGTGTTTAAAAAATAATTTGCTACAGAATAAGACTGAATATTAAATTTAATACATACCAAAATAACATTGGGATTATGACATACTTAAATCTTGACACAGTTTTGCTAATTTAAACATTTGATTTCTTACAGAAAAATAACAGCCTCATGAGACTTTTGATGATTGAATAAAATTAAATGTATTTAGTACATCTTATTACTATGGGCTGTTCAGTTTGAAAAAACTTATGACTGACCCTCCCCTGAGCTTTCAGAAGCTATAAATCGCACAGGAGGAAGTAACTCTTGTTTCTCCCACAGAGCTGCTGATCGTTCTTTAACTGCCTGCCTTTGGGTTGGCAGTGCTCCTCCTTACCTGGTACACTGTAAACATGCTAATGTGAATATTATCATCATAATAATCATCATCCATATCACCTGGATTCAAACCTTGTTTTTAAAAAATTTTATGGTGACATTCAGTGAGGAAAAAGAATATATTGAATAAATATTTGTTTATACCATAATTCAAATGTTAGCTGATATTATAACTTATAATATTGTTTATAACTTTGTTTAGCTATCTAAAAAAATTCTTGTTTTACCTATTTAAGTAGAAACTAAAATGTAAATTTCCATACTAGAAATAATATCAATAATAATTTTCTTATATCTTAAAGCACTATTTTATTATGGCTTTTTTGTTTCATTTTGGTTTGGGGGTTTTGTTGTTGTTTTGTGTGTGTGTGTGTGTGTGTGTGTGTGTGAGTGTAACATCAAATCAGGTCTGACTGGTACAGGAGGACATTGCTCCTCCTTCTCCAGCAGAGCAACTAGTGGATTTGAACCACGGACCTCTAGGATTACAGTGCAACTTCTTGCCACTAGGCCACCAGAGCTCCCTTTATTGTGGTTTTTAAAAGTAAATAATAAATGTTCTCAACATACAAGAAAATATTCTTTTAAAAAATTAAAGGTGGAGGGAGGGCTGGGTAAAAGAAAGGGGAAAGATTCAATGTGAAAAACAATGTTTACAAAGTTCGTAATTAAAACAGTATAAAATTTTAAAAAAATGTAAAAAGATGTCAGAGGTGCTAGGAAGCTTTCTTTAAAACTGTGCTGTGCTTTCTCCAGCATCCCACCCGTGACCAAGGGTGAGTGTATACCTGCTTCATATGAAGCCTCATGTAGAAAGCATCCACAAGATTTAGAGGAAAAGATGGATGAAGAGATTAATTTGGAGAGTGCTGTGGCTGTGGAATCTACCTGTCAGGGATATGTGTGTATTTTCCGTGACCTGGATGTAAGAAAAGAGGCTGACAGAGAATTGTCTTAGGTCCTGCTCAGTATAAGGGTTTAGAGACACCAGCAAAAACAGGCTGGAGGTGTTTGGGTAAAAGGGAAATGACTTACAGAAGGCTGCTGAGAGAATCATAGATAAGAGGACCATAGCATGGCATCCCAAAAAGCCCAGTAAAGATTTATGAAAAGAACCAGCCTGAGTGTGTCAGCTTTGATCATCTTCCAGACCATTATGGATGCTCATTTCAACCACAAGCCTGGTCTAGCTGGAGGTCCTTGCTTTATCAGCAAATCTGGATTCTCCCACTTTATTCTCAGGCCTAGTTCAACTAGGAATGCCTGCTGAGCTGTTAATGAGGCAAAGGCATCCCTTCTAATGCATCACCATCCATACCTGAGCACTAATGCTATAATTCCAAAGGCCCTCCTGGAACATCACTAGTGGGAGGAATTCAAGTGGCAAGCTTTTCACAGCTCACAGAGAGACTACAAGTATGAGAGTGGCTGTGCCTTCCCTAGGTGCAGCTGGAAAATGAGAACATACAGAGAGCCGCTTGGAGCACACCTCTCCAATCCCTAGAGAAAGAAGCATTTAATCTGCAGGATGGTCCAAGATCTATATTCTCCCCTTTATTTAATCTTTAGGTGGACTCTGACTACCCCAAGTCTAGGATGATCACTCATTAATTAAAATTATTTTTATTTTAAAATAATCAAATAACTATTATAAAGAATTAAAATGTTTAAACAAAATAAAGGTTCTCTCTTAAACCTGCAGTTTAACAAATAAAATATTTCCAGTAGAACTGAAGACCTTCTCTATGCAAGTTCTTTATGTATATGCAATAACTTCATGTGAAATATGGAATTTATAGAGTGAAAAATCCTTTGAAGAACAATCTTAATAGCTCTTGAATCTTTATAAAGCTAATAATATTAAACATGGTAATATTTCCGGCAGAATAAATATCTTTTGTGAATAATTTACCCTAGAAATCTTGTTAACCCTACAAAACTCAAGAGTATGTCCAACTTCCTCTTTTGATAAATAGCTTTTGAGCATTGCATAAGAGCATGTGCAATGTACCTTTTTCATTTTCTTCTTTCCCTATTGCTATGTTTTTAAGGAAATTGAATAATATTCACATTGTTCTTTCATTTGCTAATGAAAGTATCTTTACAAAATGCATATTCGGTGTCTTCTTTGGTTGTTAGTTGCTGTCTAATGGATTCCAATGTCTAGTGACCCCGTGTGTGCAGAGTAGAACTATTGTAAAATAGAAGTATTCCACAGATTATTACAGTATCATAGTAAAGATTGAATCTGAATTTTGATGTCTACAAATTCTAGATGTTTATAGCATTTCATAAATTTTCTTGGGTAAACAAAGGAATGTATGATTTTGGTTTTGTTAAATAGAGAAGTAATCTATCTCCATGAGAGTCAGCTTGCCTACTTTAAGAAACATATTTCCCCTATTTTAAACTTAAAATATATTGTTATTTTATTTAAAAAAACAAAAGTTATTAGCAAAATATGCTTCTCTTGTTTTGTTGAATCTAGCATATTGTCATATTAGCAATGGTTAATTATGCAGAAGGGAACTCTAGTGACTCAGAGCATAAGAAATTGTGCTGCTAAACTAAAGGTGGCACATCTCTGGTGATTCAAATCTGCCAGACACTCTGACAGGGAAAGACAGACAGTATCCTTCCATGCCTTTTGATAGCCTCTGAAAACCCTCTGGAGGGTAGAAAAAATTATTGGTATTATTATTATTATTATTTAACTAAAATAATATTAACCAATTTCCTAATGCAGCTATATTATAGGATTTACACATATGTAAGCCTGAAGATAATTGTAAATGGTAGCTTACATACACACAGTTTTGAAATATGAGCAGAGAAATAGAGACAGAGTATCTCAATGTCTTATGATTTGTTATGTTTAAAATCTTGGGTTGCTAGGATAGATGGAGTCAGTAACAGAAAGTAATTACATTTACTTTATTAAAATATTACATTCTTATTCCTGACTGCCTTTGAAAAGTTATGAAAAGGGACGAATGGAAAATAAGAAAATATTCCTCTATTTATTGCTTTCCTTTATGTCCATGTTTCTCTTTTCTCACTTTCTATCACTTTACCCTAAAGAAAGTTGACCTATAAATTGCAGTGCTTCAGTGGTCAGATTCTCACCTTTGCCAAAGTCTTAATTTTAGTTCTCAGCCAACGCAGCTCAAGCACAGCAGGCACTTATCTTCCAATGAAGAGGCCCCTGTGATGTTAGGTTTCACAAAGCTTTTAGCCTAATACAGACCACGTAGAAAGGCCTGGTGATTTTCCAAACATCAACCAGCGAAAACCCTGTGAATCAGCAATTCAGTCCTGTTGTGCATGGAATTACTGTGGGTTGCAGCCTGAAACAATGGCAGGTAACAACACAGATATAATGCAACAAACCTAATGGGTGAAACCTTAAAATTATGTCTTTGTGTTAATATCTTCCAATCTTAATATTCAATACATATCATTATGTTTTTATGTCCTGAGAATGTTTAAAATGGAGGAAATTCTTTTAAAGTAAAAAAACCTCATATTTAGATAATATAGTTATTTTAAAATGTATTTGTCCACTTTCTTAACCAACACACCTCTGAAAACTCTATGAACTTTGAGAAATAACAATAGTTATGGAAAGTCTTCAGGAATTTTTTTCATAGGGTCACTGTGAGTTGTGCTTAACTCAATGGCAAACAACAACTGATGTTATTTTAGTTACTGCTACATAAAAGAATTGACATGTATATGTTGATACTATATTTATATCCTAATCTTACATTTACATTTCCCCAATAAACATAAAAGTTTAGTTATAATTGTAGATGGTTACTGACCTTTATATATTTATATGTATTTATATATTTATCATATATAAAGTTTTTTTAAATTATTTTATGTTTTGTTTCTTTTAGATGGTAAAACATGGAAGTCATTTTCCAAACAGGTGAGTTAAAGCTCTTTATATAGTTTGTGCATATGAACATACATGTATATTATGTATGTATGATATGAATTGCATCAGTTAACTTGCAAAATGCCATTTTTACCCTCTATGTGTCAGAAAATGAAAAAGTTAAGATAATTCCAAGTGTTAGAAGATATTTAGATCAATGGTTACTACTCATTCCATAAAGTAGTTGAGCATTTTCTGATGAAATTGTGAAATCCATGTGTTCTATACCTAATGTTTATGCTCCTGGTTTAACTCTTAAAACAGTAAATATGCATGTATCTAGTAAGGGTACACATGAGTAAACACTTGCTTATATGTGTGAAATACACAAGAATATGTGTTGTCCATGATGGCGAAAAACATACTAATGATGTACTAACATCATCAGTCAAATTGATAAGCTGTGATATACTCATTCAATGAAAGCAAAGATAGCACCAAAAATAATTAATTACAAGGCATTATTACCTAGATGAATTTCAGAAGCATAATAACATACAAAGAAAGCAAGTCATGAAAAGCATAAAGTATAATTTCATTTTTAAAATTTAGAACCTAAAAAAATAGTGTTTAGGGATACCTTTCTAGATAGTAAAAAAAAAAATATCAAGGTAGAGCTTACTTTTGGGAGAGAGGAAGGAGCATGCAAGAGAGGGCTCAAAGAGACTTGTACTGGCAGTTTTCTGTAAGGAGTTCTGGTGGTGGGATCCTGTAGGATGTTGCCCTGCTAAATAAAGGGCCATTCACCAGCCTCTCTGCAGGAGAAAGATAGACAGTCTCCTTTCATTTTAATTTATAGTCTCAAAAGCTGATGCAGAGTCACTACGAGGTTTTATTTCATAAAAACATCTATTTACATAACATGGGAGGTCTTCCTGCTTGCTGGAAGTGAAGAAAACTTGAAACATTTGCTGAATAAGATCAAGGACTACAGCGTTCAATATGAGAATATCTCAACAGGAAGAAAACAAAGATCCTTACTGCTGGGCCAATAGGCAATATCATGATAGATGGGGAAAAGGATTGACCATTTCAACGACTTCATTTACTTGAACTCATAGTCAATACCCATGGCAGCAGTACTCAAGAAGTCAAAAGACATGTTCCAGTAGAAAAAGTCAGCATGTATCAAGGACTTTTTTTTTCTTTCTTCTTTTTTAAGGACTTTTTTAAAAGCTTAAGAACAAGAATATCCCATACTGTTTTCATTTGCTTTGTATTTATGAGAAATTTGGACAATGAGTAAGGAAGACTAAGGAAGATTTGATGCCTTTGAATTGTGATGTTGGTGAGGAGTATTGAATTTATTAAGGACTTCCAAAAGAAAAAAAAAATCAGTTAAACATAAAAAAAGAACAAATGTGCTTTTAAGAAGTGCAGCCTGGGTGATCCTTAAAGACAAAGATGGTGAAACTCCTTCCCTATTTTGAGGGCCTACTCCTTGGAAAAAGACACCATATGCTGGAAAGGTTGGGGGTTATTGAACGAGAGAAGACCCCTCAATAAGATCGATTGACACAGTGGCTGTAACAGTAAACCTACTGTGATGAAGAGGATGTCAGATCATTTTGTTATTATGTGCTGTTGAGTCACCTGTGACTCATAGCGACCATATGTACAACAGCCCTAACCCCTGCTCTATCCTGCGTACTGTCCTGTATACTGTATCCTGTATACTCAAAGGCATCAATTCTCATTCTATCCTCCCTGTCATTATCCAGCTCTCTGATGCAAATCAAGTGATTACATTGACCATGGCCTATATCAGGTGCACCTTAGTCTCCAGAGTGACATCATTGCTCTTCAGTTCTATCTATCTATCTATCTATATCTATCTATCTATCTATCTATCTATCTATCTATCTATCTATCTATCTACCTACCTACCTACCTACCTATCTATTCAATACTCTTCTCCAGCCCCACAGCTCAAAGGTATCAATTCTCCTTCTGTCATCCCTAGTCACTGTTCAGCTTTCTGATGCATAGCAAGTAATTGCAAAGACCGTGGCCTGAATGAGGTAGACCATTGTCTCCAGACTGACATCATTGCTCATCAGTCCTTTGGAGAGGTGTCTTACAACAGACTTTCCCAATGCAGTTAGTCTTTTAATTTCCTGGCTGCTGTTACCAAGAGTGTTGATTGTAGAGCAAGCAGACTAAAGCTGTTAACAGTCTCAGTCTCTTCATCATCTTATCATTATGCTGCCAGTCGGCCCAGTGGTGAGAATCTTTGTTTTCTTGATGTTGATCTTCTATCCATATTGAAGGCTGCAGTCTTTGACCTTTTGCAGCAAGTGCTTCAGGTCCTCCTCAGTTTTAGCAAGCAGGGTTGTGTCATCTGCATAACACAGATTGTTAATGAGTCTACCTCCAATCTTGATGCCACATTTCTTCTCATAGAGCCCAGCCTCCCAGATAATCTGTTCCATATATATATACAAAAGATACGGAGAGAGGACACATCCTTGGCGTAAACCATTCTCAATTTTGAACCAAGCATTGTTCCCTTGCTCTGTTCTGACTGCTACCTCCTGGTCCAAGTATAGGATTAGCATAAGCACAATCAAGTGTTCTGGGATTCCCATTCTTCTCAGAATCAGTCAGCCACAGTTTGTTGTTCTCTACACAGTCTCATGAGGATAGTAAATAATCCAGAGTCAGATCTGTTATTGATAGAGAGTTGTAGTCCACTTGGCATTACCTAACAATAACAGAAATTCAAACTATATATCATTACAAGCATTTTTTTAAAAAAAGATCAAAGTAATAGAACATAGAGCCTAGAAATTGATCTTTACATGTATGTGAAGACATAAAAATCTGGAAAAATTATTAATCTTTGGACGCTAAATACTGAATTGATAGATTTTCATATGGAGGAAAATGACGTTAAAACTCAAAGTTACTGTCATATTAAATAAACTTAAATCCCAATTTTCAGATAGATAAAGAACTTACTTGTGGTTTTTTAAAATTTTTTTATTATTAATATTAATGAAAATTTACAGAGACTTTGGATTTCCATTCATTCTTCGTTGCACTTTTCTCCCTGCCCACCCTTCCTCCCCCAGTGCACTCTTCTCTTTGAAAAGTGAAAAAAAACACTCTTTCATTGTTTTTTGTTTTTTTAAATTTAGGTTGTTTATTTTTCATTTCAACGAACATCTACAGAGATTTTAGAATTCCATTCATTCATTGTTGCACCCTTCTCCCTGCACAAACCTCTCCCCCCTCTTCCCCCTTTGCTCCTCTCCTTGAAAAGCAAAAGAAAAACTCCCTCATTGGTACACAGTCCCCCCCGCACCTCCCCAAACCCCACCCCCACCCCCAAATATAATCCACTCTGCAACCCTCATTGCATACTCCTACGATAACAATAATTCCCTAAGATCTTCACCCTGAAACCCACAGCGTCCCTTTTCAGCAGGAAGTAGCTAAGAGAATACGCCATCCCCTTTTCCTTATGAATCAGGGTGAAGTCTCTCTCAGGGAGGAGTGATAGGGAATGGCAAAGGACACACCGACAAAGGAGATTAATCAGAACTGACTTTGACAAGCACTGTGGCAATTGGACAATTAAAACAGACATTCGGATGGCGGGGGGAAGAAGAACAAACTGGGGAGGAGGGTTGAGAGAATGGTGCGGCAATGAAGGAGTGAAAGCCCAGAATCCCTGTGAATGTTCATTGAAACTAATAAAATTTAATAATATTAAAAAAAATATAATACTTTTAGACTATTCTCTCCCCTATAGACTTCAATACCGTAAACATATTTTCATTGTTTTACAGTCCCTCCCCCCAGTCCACTCCACTATGCCGCCTTTGTTCAGGACTCTCATCATGACAAAAATACCAAATCATATATCCCTTTTAAACAATTTTCCCCCTCATCTGTTTCAATGCAGTATACATTATTTATCCCATCCATCTGAGTCTCCCCCCAAACCCGATGTCAGTCCTGTTTTACAACAGTGATGCCATGTAGTATTTATCCTTTTTTGACTGAGATATTTCACTCAGTATAATGTCCTCCAAGGTCACCCATTTTGAATAATATGCATGAGTTTCTTGTTTTTCAATGCAGTGTAGTATTCCATTGTGTGAATATACCACAGTTTCTGTATCTGTTTGTTTGTTGATGGGCACTTAGGTTGTTTCCAGCTCTTTGCTACTGTGAACAAAGCCGCAATAAACATGGGTGTGCATATATCTCCTTGGGTGGCAGTTATGGTCTCTTTGGGGTATTCCCAGTAGTCGAATTGCTGGGTCAAATGGTATCTCTATTTGCAACTTGTTGAGAAAGTGCCACACTACCTTCCACCGTGGTTGCACCATTTTACACTTCCACTAATAGTGAATAAGGGTTCCATTTTCTCCACAATCTCACCAGCATTTGTTGCTTGCTGTTCTGTTAAATGTTGCTATTCTTACTTGGGTGAGATGATATCTCATAACTGTATTTCTTAGGTATTAAGAAAAAATAAGAGGTATACAAGCTTTTTTGACAAGGACATAAAGTAAAACTGAATGTTGATGTTGTTGTTGTTATGTGCTGTTGCATCACTTGCAGGTCATAGTGACCCTATGTACAACAACAATAGTTCAACCGTATCATCTCTGACACATATATTCCCACTACCCTTGTCACTGAGTCAATCCATCCCATCCAGAGTCTTCCTCTCTTGCCCTGTCCCTCCACCCTCTCAAGCATAATGTCCCTCTCCAAGGACTCGTCTCTCCTTGCAACATGTTCAGGGTATGTTAGACGAAGCTTCAGAATCCTTGCCTTCAAGGAACAGCCTGGTTTCTTCTTCATTAAGATGAACCTGTTTGATCTCCTGGGTATATTCAGTACTCCTCCCCAGCACCACAGTTTAAAGATACCAGTTCTCTATCATCTGTAGTCGTTGTCCAACCTTCAGATGTATGGCAAGCAAAACTGAATAGAAAATGAACTAAATTAAGTATAAGAAAATAGAATAGAAA